CAAAAAAAAATTTAAAGATAAGATGCTCTCTATTTTAAAAAGTTAATCTTTTAAAATCATGCTTCAAATTTTTTTTAAATTAACATTTTAATTTAGAGAGTGTGTTTGACTCCAAATTTAAAAAATCAAACTCATTCTATTTAATTAAATGCATTAAATAGAGAAAAATAATAAATATTTTTTGAGAGTGGTAAAATTAAGTCATAAATAAATAATCAAACTCATGACAGAATAAGATTTGTGTTATTCTCATAGTTATCAGACTCGGACCGGATCGGCCAGTTCGATCCGGAACCCGTCGAGCCGGACCCAAATCCGATCCGATTGTAAAGGAATTTATGGCGAATAAACAACCCGTTTGAACCGCTGGTTTTACACAAAACCCGATTACCAACTTTTCCTTGACCCGATCGGGTCTTAAGCAGCCTGTGTTTCACTTTCCTTACAGATTCCAGTTTCCCCACTCCCGTCTCCTCACAGCTTCTAAGATTCTTGCAAAATTAAAAATCTCAGCCACCGTCTCCAGTCTCCTAACGGCTTCTTCTCACTCATGGAACAAACAGTGCCACTATGGTCACCTGAGATCTGGAATCTTTCATCTGAACTTAACACCAGAAAGAGTCCCAGTGAAAGATCTCAAGATTTTCACAGCTAATTCCTCAGCAAAGACAGGCTATTATTTTTCAATGGCTTGTTAAGTAGGCTTTGAAGCTAGGCTGTAAAATTCTTTACCTTTAACTAAATCTTTAATCAATCGTTTCCTCTTTATAAGTAGGGTTTCATTCAAAATGCTCATTTTTTCTCGCTCAGTGTGTAAATTTTTTAGATCTGGTTTCGAGGGGAAGAAGGGTTTGCTATGGTTTAGATCTTGTTTTTAGATCTCACTCAGCATTTTTGTTTTTATTAAGAGCAAAGGGGCAAGTGCCAAGTAGGAGAAGATGGCTCAGTGACTCATTTTGTCTGTTGTGTTAGGAGATGTCTCACGCCTGTGTATAGTGTATAGGAGCCATTTAGTTTTCTAAAGTATGATAATTCCTTTGCACTTTCTGGTTTGGATTAAAAAATATTAATGGGAGATTGGAGAAGATGGCAGAAAAGGACTGAGAAATTTGACACACCTTCAATTTCGTATAATAAGTAAAGACAAACACTAACTTCGTTGAATAAGATTCAAATGATGGTTTTATTTTTCAAAGCATATTTCACTGATCTTGAATTTGTGAAATTTGAAATACAAATTGTTCTTTAATTAACAAAATAATATGAAGTTAATTTAGTTATTGGAAGAAAATAGTAAAATTTTATTATTCAATGAAAATAATTAATAATTTATGACAGGCATTGACTCATCGGGTCGACGGTTGAACCACTGACCCGTTGACCTGCTACATTTTCCGGGTGGGGTCTGATAACTATGGTTATTCTATATTTTGTAGAAGTGATTTATTGTTTGTTGCTTAAAATATGATTAATCATGTATTACAAATAGGAACCTTCCTACTGTATTTGAATTTCTTAGAATGTGTTGATCTAAGTGTACGTACTCTTTTATGTTGGAGTATGATAATTCTCTATTTTAAGAACTCTGGCAATAAAACGAAAAAGGTTGATCAGAATATTTCAAGTGGCGTAATCAACATGGTGGAAGAGATGAGACCTAGGCAGATGCACAATTATTCAAGTTTGAGGAAACATGGAAAAATTTCTATTTGAGTATCTTGGACAATCCAAAGTTGAGGTGAAGATCGTTAAAAAAATTTGACTTGATTTTGTCTAAACTAAAATTAGGAATTGAATATTTTTATGTTTCATGGTACTAAAATATAATTTGTGGTGTTCTATGTATTATATGAGTAGTTGATTGTTTCTCACTTGAAATATAATTATTTTTTGTCGTTATTTTTCTTTATCTTTATAATTTAGTTGACTTTGAAATTAATTTTTTGAAGAAAGATTATATAGAGGGTGAAAAAACCATAGAGTTCATCTCAATTTCTAACAAGTCTTACATATTAATTGACTTGGAATGTTGAAAAAAAAAATAAAAATATATGACAATAATGAAAAATGATAGACGAACAGGGCCTGGTGGTAGGGGTTGAGGTAACCGTGCCTCTTCAGCCCCTGATCTGAATGTATCTGAATTTCAAAAATTTAGATGTGGGGTTGAGACATCGTTGCCTTAGCCCCTGTCAACAAGCTCTGTTTTTGTAGAAGAGCTCGACAATAATTAGTCAATAAGATTTTGATGACAATTAAAGTCAAGAATAGTAATGGTCAATTTCTCGAATCATTTGACTTCGGATTTTAAAAGTGCTTGCCAGATTAAGAAAAGTATGTTTAGCCTCTATTAAATCATATTTTATTTTTCTCTCTCATATTTTTAATCACACAATTTTCCATAACATAATATTTTTTATATGATGTGTAGGTTAATTTCTACAAATATATATAGATAAAATATATGTTTGATAAGCTTAAATTATGATCTAAACTTGAGTAATGATATTCATAGTGAAAACTATCGATAATCGTTCTACGTGATATACATATGACATGTGATATTTGATACATGTCTGTCATGTGTATGTTACGTAAAATGGCTATCGGTACTTTTCACTATAAATGATATTATTCTTTAAAGTTTGACAAAACATGTTTACTCAACAAACCATTCAAATGCAATATTTCAATTTTCTGGGCAAATTAGAAAGACCTTCCTCGAAGGTTTTAACAATTTCCAAATACACTCTGTATTTAAAAGTTACACACAACCTCTCTTACCACAAATTTTGAATAATGCGTACCTCTCATGACATTGATGACATCTCAAAGACATAGACTCCTTTATATATATTATTACAAACGTCCATTTTTTTTCAAGTTTTTAATATCACGGACCTTGATGTTTATGACGATTTCGAAAAACCTTCTTCGTTTTTAATTATCTCATCGAGACTGTCAATCTTAAAAAAATACTTCAACATTTAATCGTTTTAAATAATTATATTGAGGTACACAAGATGAAGTGAATCTAGTTGTGATATTATCTTAAATGATACAATATATATATATAATTATTAATAGTTTCGCAAATTTAATACAAGTTTTTTCATAATTAGGGACAAGATGTGTTGATTTATAAAATATTTGAATGAGCAAAGTTCGAAGACCTTCAATGAACTAAAAAAGTGATGCAAACAACAGAAAATTTAGGTGGTAAATATATAATGATTCAACTATCCACTTTTTTGGAGTTGTTTATAAAAAGTTTATAAACGATATAAATTATTAATCTATAATATATTAAAATATCATATCAAGGAAGAATCATTTTTTGGACGATTTTAACCCCCTACAATTCAATTATATCAATAACACCTTACTTTTTCATTTTTCGATATGTAATAAATACTACATAATTATTGCCATTTATGAAATTTGTGTTATTAATTCTTAATTAATTAACATTAACATTAATATAGATTCAATGAATTTTCACTTGATGAACTTTAAATTACATGAATCTAGAGTTATTCTAGATGAATTTATTCATATTCATGTATTTATAATATTTTAACAGGTGTTTAAATTAATGTATTGACAATTAATTTTTATGTATTATTTAATTCATGCGGTACTCATCAAATCTTCAACAAATTGGTACAAAATATTATTTTTACATCACTTATAAAGTATTTTAGAATAACGTGCAACGCACATTCAACTTTAACTAGTAAATACAAATGAATCATGAATAAATAAGCAATAAATGTGGATCTCAGAAAATTATGAATAAAAGTAATTTAATAAATTATAACCCATAGCCAAACATGAATGTTCACTACACTCAGTGTCCACAGTGGGTCGTGGTGGTCATGTGACCTACCAACTTAAAATTGAGGGTATTTTATTTTTTATTTTATATAATTAAGAAATCAAATTTAAAGCAAAGAACTCGAGCCCGAAAAATCCAAAAGCTTTGAATGAAGTTTTGATTTTTCAAAGACCATGAAAGATTTGTCCATGAAAAGTTATATGCCTCATTGTCCAGGAAATTATTTCTTTTGTATTTTCTTATGAAATGGATTTGGGGATCCACTTAAGTCCTCCAATTTCAATCTTGTCTTGGCGATTATAGGATAATGGATTCTTGCTATGATTTTTGTCTTTGTTTGGTTTGGGATGCAATTACTAATGTAATATTCAGAATTGTCGTGATTTTTGTATTTTTCATTTGAATCGATTGTGATGGAAAAATAATTTAAACGTATATATACGTTTTCTTTTGAAGATCATAATGTTAATGAAAGGAATATTCGAGACAAAAGTGATGAAAATAATGTTGAAGATAAAAATGATGACAAACTTGGTGATATTTGAAATAAATGTAAATCTGTACTTTTTGCAAGTTCGATTATATCTCACTAACTCAAAATGTATGCGTTCATCAATAATTACACTTTCTAAATTGATAATCTTTTAATAATAGCATTTTCGAATAAAATACTCCAAAAATAAAAACTCTAGATTCAAAAACCAACCCTAACAACTAAACACGTGATCCGTGTTTACAAAGTACAAACTAAACTCTATCCATTATGCCTTTAGGAAATAGAAATTTTCAATGACACCGACCAATCAAATATTTTATTTCATATGCTAGTATTTGTCGTTAGAGTAATGCTATTTAATTTATTGGGATTACAATCCCAATTTTGCGACGTTGTTATGATATTAAATAATAAGTAAAATTAAATAATTCATTTAATTTTTATTTTTATTTATCCAATCATCCTTCGCCACTTAAACTGAAATTATAACTCTAATAAAGCTACGTAACATTATTCTTGTCGATGTATTTTCCGTACCTCGTGTTTTACTCACATATAGAATAGGTGATAGGGATTAAAAATTGGAAAATATGTGTCAACATTTTATTGGACAATTAAAAAAAAAAAAAAAAACCACACACATACTACCAACGCAGCATCCGTCAAAATACCTGTCCCCTTTCTCCGTTCAAGCAGCGAAACTCACCCGAACCCCTCAATCTTTACTCTATATATTCTCACGTTTTCCAAGGAACGAGAAAAGCTTAAACGATTCGAAAAGCACAAGAATATCAATGGCAGCAAACACGGACAGGAATTCCAAGCCTTCAGTGTACCTCCAAGAACCGAATGAGGTCCAAGGTGTATTCAACCGCTTCGACGCCAACGGCGACGGCAAGATATCCGGGGATGAGCTAGCCTGCGCGCTTAAGGCGCTGGGATCCAACACTTCTAAAGAGGAGATCGCCCGCATGATGGAGGAGATCGACACCGACAAGGACGGTTTCATCAATGTCCAGGAGTTCGCCGCCTTCGTCAAGGCCGAGACAGACCCCTACCCCTCCTCCGGCGGCGAGAACGAGCTTAAGGAGGCGTTCGAGCTCTACGACCAGGATCATAATGGATTGATCTCATCCGTCGAGCTCCACAAGATCCTAACGCGCCTCGGTGAGCGGTACGCCGAACATGACTGCGTTGAGATGATTAAATCTGTTGATTCTGATGGAGATGGTTACGTTAGCTTTGAGGAATTCAAGAAAATGATGACGAACAAAAGCGGCAATAACAGCCAAGCGGAGCCACCGAAATAGACAGCGGTGTGGCGCACTGGGATTTTGTTGTGTGCTTCTTCCTGGTATATCGCCTTTTCCGATTTTAGGGCAAAATTCCATGATATTGATGATTTAGGGTTAATTTTGATTTATGTTTTTAAATTTTACTCTAATGTAATGACAGTGCCATTTTATTGACTTAACTGTTTGTGGATATTGCGTTGAATTGGCATGATAACATTTGATTATCAGAAAAGACATTCAAACGGGCCTGTCCCAAACCCTGGAGAAATTCCCTGTCAATCCAGCTTCTCTGATTCTTTTGATAGGTATATTGAAAAATTGTTCGAGAACCCTAATTGTTCGTACATGGCACCTTGAAAACCTTTTACTAAGGGTGATTGTTACATTTGATTAGGTATGGAAATAGAAAATTTAAAAGAGGAAAAGAAAATTGGTACCAAAACTCCATGTGCATTATGGAAAATGCTTGTTGTACATTATCATTATAGATTCAGGTGAAAATAAATTGAATTAAAATTGTCAAAATTGCGTCACCACTTGAACGATTATGGTTATGCAATGTGGGTTAAAGTAAAAAAGAAAGTGGAATTTTTTTACTAAGTTAAATCTCGCAACATTAAAAGTAAAACTGTAAGTTGTGATGTACATTCGGTGCATTTTTGCCTTTTCCCATCCTTCTGGGGTCAGTAGTGGTAATTTGGTTCATTAGTTATTGACTCTATAAAACGTGTATGATTTGATTTCTCCCTCTTCCCCAACTTTGGTGGAGATGGATGGGATAGTTAGGTCAAGGCTCTACTATTGATTTTATAGGATGTGGATTTGTATGCTTTGATCTCTCTTTTTTCTATTTCTTCTCTCCACTGAATCGGTGGGAGGGGATTTATCACTTTTTTGATCTTCTTAATCGTTCTTGCTTTCATCTGTTTATTCAGTCAATTCACAATATGAAAAAGTTTATTAGAGAATGGCATTTGCATTATTAATTCATTAATGTTGATGTGTTGGATCTCCGAGTTTCTATTGTGTTTCCACTGAAGAGATCTCTGTCTACTCCTTTTTTTTTTTTTTTTAAGTTGAAGGTGTAAACTATGGTCTTTGATTACAAATATATATTCATTTTTGGTGGGGCTGTTAGGTTCATGGACTATTGGCTCTGTATCTGTTGGATGTGTATTCTTTAACTGACCTCTTTTTTTTATTTCTTCGATTGATTCTGTCCACATTATCTTTGTATATCCATACAAAGTGTGTTTCAATTCTTATTTCTATATATTGATTTCATCCGTATATTTAGTCATTTCACGTTCACAACAGCGAGATGGGAGGACTTTTATTGGAATTCACATATAAGTAAAGTGAAAAATTAGCTTTTGCATTTTTAATTATTATTTTGTTTTGAAAAAAAAATTGTAATTTGGTGTGTTAAATGTGCAAGTTTCTCTAATTTGGTCTTCTTATTGATGTCTCTGTCTACTTACTTAAGAATAGGAAGAAGTTCGTTGTACTGTGTATAGGATAACAAGGTCTTCCCTTAATGTGTTTCATGTGGTTGCTATTTCATGTGCATGCTTTTCTTTATATTCCTTAACAAATGTGGTGCCTTGATAGGAGAATTAAGTGCCTAATGTTAATCCTAATATATCCAGATTAATTATATACCCACCCACCCCCCTCCTCCTAAAAATGTGAGATTGTTCACTCGAAATATATAAAATACAGAAGGGTTATGCTATATTTACATTATGATGTTCATGAGGGTGTTCACAATGTACAAGTGGCATAACATTATTGGATAATTGAAAAACAGTTTTTTCAATCCTTTAATCATAAAATTTCACATGTATATTATGTACACCCTTATGGATAGCATAATGTACATATAAAATTATTCAATACAGCCCCCCACTGAAATGGCGCAGTGATAAAGCAGGAGGGTTCTACACAGAGTATCGGAGATTCGAATTTCCACGGCAGTTGGAAGGCAACATTTATGTTGGAATGCAGTTATCCCATGGAGGTAAAGTTATGGTGTGCTTTGTCGTCCCTCCGAAAGTCCTGTCCGCACATTGTAAAGGGAGATTTATAGAGAAAAGAATCGCATCCCGAATGTACGGTTCAAATATGTATAAGTTGTGTCCACATTCGAATTTACCTGGATGGCGAACAAGAAGGGAAGACCGTCACTTCTCAAAATTAGTCAGGCGAAGATTGGACACCTGAATTCTAAAAAAAAAAAATAAATAAATAAATTATTCTATACAAAAACTTCTTATAATGTAGGCCCCTCAAGGGAAGGGGTTAGCGACTGTACCTCTTGTTGTGCACGGTCGTAAGAATATCTTTGGTACACTACAGGTGTCCGAATAAGATTGAGCCCCACTATTTCAATTTTTTGTCAGCTTTCTAATTTTAAAACAATAAATTAATTGTTAAAAAAAAGGGTTGTGCTATTTGCACAGGGCCTGAGACATGGGACCTCAAGGGAAGGGGTTAGCGACTGTACCTCTTGTTGTGCACGGTCGTAAGAATATCTTTGGTACACTACAGGTGTCCGAATAAGATTGAGCCCCACTATTTCAATTTTTTGTCAGCTTTCTAATTTTAAAACAATAAATTAATTGTTAAAAAAAAGGGTTGTGCTATTTGCACAGGGCCTGAGACATGGGATGGATCCCACACATTTGTGGGGTCCACCCCATGTCTCAGGCCCTGTGCACACCCTGTGCACAGGGCCCTGTGCAAGGAGGATTACCCTAAAAAAATTGCAAGTGGACAGAACTGTGTCTGGCCTTTAATTATGAATAAAGCCCCCCTGTCCCCACTTGTGGACAGGGTTGAAGATAAAGGTGCCACATGGCACCTCTCTATTGGAGGGGCCCTAACTTAGGGGTAGGGTTAGGAACATGTGACACCTACTTATTGGAGGGACGTCTGCCCCAAGTCGAAATAGGGGGCAGGGTTGTTTAATTATTGCAAAAAAACGTTGAAATTCAAAAGGTCGAAAACATCCTCGTTTTTCGAAACTAATTTCCAAAAATAACCCTACTATTCCTTAACTTTTAAATAACCTCCCCCATTTATTTGAAGGGTAAACTGGGAAATCAGATTTGGCTACCAAGGCAACTCTCCAACAGTCAGTCAACAAGTAGCGTTTTCCATCATGGATGGTGTTTGTCTTGGAACTACCGAACAATTCATTCAATGTGGCCACACAATGAAGAAAATGAAATTGGCAAAAAACTGGAATAATGGGGCTCAAACACATAAGAATTTTTTTCTCAATAATTCTTCTCAAATTAGTAGTTTTATAAAATTTATTTTTACTTTTAAAAAAATATGTAAAGATTTTCAACTATTTTTTGAAGGCAGTGCTTTCACTTCAAAAATTTTAAAACAAAAAAAAAATGCTACTATTTATTAAACTTCAAAATATATATTTAAAAGCAAAATACATAGAGTCGAAAATAAATAATTTAATTCATTAAAGTTAAAAGTTGTATTTAATTTATGAATATCTCGAGTAACTAAAAGCAGAATTCGGAAAGTTACTCGTGTAAAGAAAAACATGAACCATACCGCTACGCATGAGACTTGGAGGAGTCTCAAGAAATGTGGTGTTCAAAGCAAAAGTTTGACAGGTAAAATTTTAAACTTCAATTTAAATTAACACAAAAAGTATATATTTTCGAATGCATGGTTAAAAATTTGAGAGAAAGTTTTGAATTTACGTGTAGTATTAATTTGTTGAAAATACGTGATTGAAAATAAAAAAGAGAAAAATGTATATTAAAAATAATACAGAACAAACAGATGTTTAATATCATGAGTTTCTACGCTTGATATAACATTCGTCATATTTCTCTACAAAGCATTGACACCTTTCAAAGCATCACAAATCTGCTAGTAGATGACACATTCTTCTATAATCTATATATTTTTTTTCTTACGTTCGCCGAAGTAACTTTTGATTATTCGTCAATCACAAGGTTGATTCTAAAATAAGTCTCAAACAAGTCTAACTTGTTTTATTTCTTTACCAAATCGGTATTTTGTATTTTGCAATATCAATCTGTTGGTCAAGAATTAATTCTCATGAGCAAATAATAGGGTCTTTGTTATAAATATTCGATATTCTTGCAAAAATATTTCCTTGTTTGACCTCCATTTTAATGTGATTTTGTGAGAAAATGTATTTAAAAATAGCAACTTTTTCCCCCCTTTTTGAAGAATATGTGATTGAAAAATAAAGAAAATTTTTGGGTTCACATTTAATATTATTTTGCGGAAAAATGTGGTCGAAAATGAATTTTGAATAAAAGGGAACCCAAATAAGGGCTTATTTAGTTGTGTTAGTGACATTAATTTCTTGCAGTATTTAGCTGGTAACCCATCATATGATGAGTTCCTATTATTTTTCATAAAAATACAGCGCCTAATATAACTTTACTCTAATTCAAACCAATATTTCCATAAATTAACCATTTCAAAAACTCATGTACCCAAGTCACAGAGACCACAAATATTCATACCGTGTAAAAAATTGAAAAACAAGAATACAAAACGGAGTCACTTTCCAGTAAATTTCAGTTGATAGAGCTATCAATCACTTCAAAATGTGTATGGCCTAAACTTCGAATAAAATTCACCTCAAATTAATTAAGGCAGATGAAACTAGTAGCAATACAGCAGCCAAAGGGAGTGCAGAAGTATGAAGTATAACAAATGAAATAAACGCCAAATTCTTCAAAAGAACATCGTTTCACTGGATCTATTCGTCAAACCGGCTAAAGAGTTCAAGGGAATTCGGTGATTCTTTAGTGTTTAATGCATCTTCTGCTCAGTGCTCCCTCGTTGCCTCCTTCTATACCTTGCACAGACAGATAATTACTGCATCTCAATTGAGCATTACAAGGAAAAGCATTTTCAAGCAAACAATTGTATTCCAAATCAGATAATAAAACTGGGACTAATCTAATTCCACTCAAAAATCACTGTCAATTCCAAATAAGACAGGTAAGGTATTTGCCAAACATTTGAAGTGTTTATCTTGCAGTTTTCTTTTCTTTTACAAGTACTAAAATGTTTCATAATTCTGGCATGTTTCCCAATGTCATTTTTTATACAATTTTCACTATACTGGAATTCTGACCATACCAGATGTCAAACCAAATGCCAAAATGTCGATTGAAGCAAGGCTTTTGATGGCTAAAGAACAGCATGGATTTTGAAGGGACTACGTTTTAGCCGGTCAAGAATCAACAAACAGGCAAGGTGCACACTCAGTGTAAGGTTGGAGGTACCTTTAGATTTTACTGCTAATGCCTTGCCTCGTCTATAGGAAGTAAGGCAAAGAGCATAATGAAGGTCACAAAGATATGTTTGCTCTTTGATGGGGACCATATACTCTCAAAAAATGGACTTACCTTGCTGATGGTTTAGGTATTAATCTAAGAATTGATTTCAATGACAGGTTGATATTTGTCTTTTATATTAGCTTCATCTTGACCAACGTAGTGATAGCCCTAACCTAGATGCTTGATGATACAGATAAATTGTAAAATATCCCATGGTAGACCCTACAAGTTTTACAAAACTGGCACATACTAAGTGCCTATTTGAGCCTCATTATCTAAAAACTCATTTTTAACCACATATTCTCTTGATAAAACAATTTTGTACGTAAACCCAAAACTTTTCCTTATTTTATAGTCACATTCTCCCAAAAAAATCACCATTACTAAATTTATTCTCCCAAAAAAGGGGGCTCAAACAAAGCCCAAGTGTTGTTCATGTCGTACCATCCAAAGTATTCATTTGAAGGTATCAGGAAAGTTAAAATCACTTAGGATCAAGTGTACCATCAAATTCTTGTTGTCTAATTTGACTTCCAAAGTGGTTTCACTTGTCTCCTCATAATTGTTGCTAGAGTGTTCACAATGATATTGAAGAGATAAGGTCTGATGTCATGTCGAAGAGGCATTTCTAGAGTTTACCTTGGGGAGTTATGGTTAGGGAACATTATCAACCTCACCCATGCCTCTACAAACGATTTTATCAATAGGTATGGGGTGCATGTAATAAACCATCTTGGAAGTCATTACCTGTATGGTCTATGGAGTGCGTAATACTTTGCCCAAGAGTAGTGGTTTCAATAAATAACGTAGTACTAAGGTTACTGAGGCGTCTTTCCCATTTTGTGGGATTTGACACTCTTTTGACAAACAGTAATAAGACATTATTTTATGATAATTACTGAATGTTGGGAGGACAAAATATCCGTAAGATGAACGGACCATAGAGTTGGGGATATTAAGATGGCCTTGGCGTCATACTAGAATGAATAAAATATGCCAACAAGTGCAAGGGATGCTAATTGAGGACAAGTTAAGGGAATATGACTTAGCTTATAGAGATGCTGCTTCATAAAATTATCAAATAATTATAGCAAGTCAAGTACCAGAAGATGATAAATTGCCTAAGATGGCACGCCTCTAGCTTCTTTCATACATCAAAGTTTAATCAACTCTTACTTGTGAGATATATATATAAAGAAGGCGAAAAATAATAATCATGAGCTGACAAAATTATTTATAAAGAACGGGAAATAAAACAGGATGGAGATGGATACCTTGACAAAATTACTTACCAGCTTTCTTGGGGGAAAGTCCGACTATAAAGAGGATATTCAAAGAGAAATGTTGCTTTAAACCATGATGGCAGTTTTCCATACAGTGCAGGAGGGAGCAAAATGAGAGGACTGAAATACAAGAGTTTGTAAATCTCACCGTGTTTCTCCAAACAATTGGCAGCGAAATATCGATAGACAAAATGAAAAACCAACCTTGTTGTTCTTTTATAATCCCTGTATGCAGCAACTCCGCCATACTTCTTGTCTGCTGATTCCTAATTATTGTATACTTTTTAAAGTGAGCAAATAATCAAGTTTGGAGTTGCAATAAAAAATAGATGTATATACAAAGCAAGCAACCTCAAGCAATGGTATGCCGCTGAGAAAAAGAAGCAATAGGGTGAGAAATATTGGCCCAAATATGACAAGCCATTCAGCATTTTCTAACACTGGAGTTGAAGCTACAAATATTCCCCACCAAAGGAAAATCTGAACGTAAAACAAATTAAGGTTATATGTCATGTTAAATAAATAATCAAGAAAAAACGAGCACAAGAAATCTGACAAAAAAAGAACTGTAATATCATATAATAAATATATTCTCATGATAACAATAACATGTACAATTGTCGTATTCTTACAATTTTCAAAGGAAAGCTCTAAAACTTTCACACCTCACATCAAGTGGAATTGTGTCAGAATGAAGAGCCAACTTCGCCCACTGCCCTGTTACTCCTATGGTGATGGCAATTTTTATTATTTGATATTATCAGTTGTAAATTATCTGAAACTAATTGCTAGAATTTTTCAAAATGAAAGGCGAGTTCACTGAAGGAATGTGCATTGGAAGCAGCAATATGATTCATAACACATTTCTACATGCTGTATCAAGAACGGCATGTACTTGGACCCTTTGACTTGTGGAGAGTGTTAAATGCCACAAATAGATTCCTGTCTTTCAAAATTATGTAAATATAACATAACACCTTCCTTTCTTTTCTGCTTTAGTAATCAGTAGCAATAATGCTTTCAAAATCAGCAAGAATAGAGAAAATTTTAAAAATTAACCTCGCCAAAGTAGTTTGGATGACGAGAATATTTCCAGACTCCAACATTGCACCATTTCCCTCTGTTGTCTGGAGAATTTTTAAATGCCAATTTTTGTTGATCAGCTGCAGCTTCAACAAGAATACCCAAGGACCACATAATCCAACCTATAATATCCGCAGCATGAATGGAGGGGTTTTTGTTACTTGCATTAACAACTGTCACGGGCAAACTTACAGTCGACACCCAGACAGCCTGCATAAAAGTCAAATAATATATTTATAAAAGAAATTAATATCAAACTACTAGGATAACAAACTTCTATTTCACAAATCTTTATTTGCATAACTGTAAAAGACTCCATGAAACCTGAAAAATCCAAAAAACAGCGAGTTTTCCAAAATTAGTGCGCATTTCATCAAACCGTCGATCCTCCCCCCACTGCAGTATCCTGGTACAAATATTACAAGAGAATAGCTTAAATAAGTCATGACTTCTATATTTCAGAAATAAAATCTCTTTACAACCAATAATATACTTGAAGAAAAAGAGGCATGAATCAGGATCAAAGATTATGTAAATTTAATTATAATTAACAAAAGATTAGTTAGAAAACAATTATGACGTAAATAATTGTAATTTTTCCATGATGATGTAATATATCATACAAAAAATTTATAATTGACCAACTCCGTCTGAACTAGGAATTTAAAGTTAACAAAACGAAATTTCTCACAATGAAAGGTAGAACTGAGTCGCTAAATAAAATTTGGCTGAAAGATTTGAAGAAACATGAATGAGAGACAAAGTATGTGAAGCTGTGCAAAAAGTTGTTAGAAAAAGTGGCAAGCAGCATTGTTGGATGCTTAGGGCAATGGTGCAACATTTATCTTTGCTGAATTTCATTCACAATTTAACAATCATTCCCTTAGTTTAAGGAAGAAATGTTTTTGATAGAAGAACTCAATCTGCTACAGAAGGTCCTCAAATTATAGATAAACAGTTATCCAAATCATACCTCATCAATAGAAACAGTCCCAGCCGAAGGCCCCATACGACTACAAGCAAGGACAAAACCACCTGAAAATAGTCCGAAACATCAAACCACTTAACAGAAACATGTTGTCAAATATTGTGCTACATCAAGCACACAATTCAATTCATGCCAAAACCAAATGGAAAACAGTACTGAAGCATTAAACCGCTCAACGGAAATATTCTTTCATGTATTGTGCTGCATCATGTACACAATATAAGAGACATCTCAAAAAAACCTTCAGTTCCTTACTTCACCAAAAGAAGCAATTATTGAAATAGCATTTAATGGATACAGTTCAGTAGAAATAGAAATCCAAGGAAATCTATTGTAACTTGTTTTCTATTTTCTTTTATATTCTAGTTTAGCTAGGAATTAATGTAGTGGTGGGATTATGTTTCCTTCCCTTAGTTAGGAATGGTCTTTTCTTTCCTTCCATAGGTTGGATTGTACTATTATAATTGAGTTGATTTTGTATGAATAAAACCATTCCGCCAAAATTTCAAGTAGTTCCGAATAAAAATTCATAAAAGACAAGTAAGCCATAACCGTTTCTGATAAACAAAAAAGTTGGAAAGTTTCGTACCATTTGCTTAATAATCTACGAAATCAAACAAATTGTAGCATCTGTTGTTCAAGAACACGGAGAAAGACGAAAGAACGAAATGAAATATTATTGGCTTAACTGTAATTGACATGGGGTAGATTTCCATGTCTTCCAAGATTATGATTTATGTTTCCTTCTCCAATTCGAAACAACAAAATAATGATTCAAACTTGCCATTACCTACTAAATAATCTCACTAAGGCTGCTGCAAATTTGAGAATATTGAAGCTTAATGAAGAAGTTATCAATTATCCATCTCTTAATTTTTACGAAGGCAAATTCTCACTTTACGGCTTTCATATTGGATAGACTAGATTTTCATTGTCTTCCCCTCCACATTTCCAGTATAATAGAGGAGCAAGTTTTTTTTCCTACCTCTTCTTCTCACAATGTATCTCCTTCCCTCTAAACTTTGTAATTTAATGAGATTTCAAAAAATTGTCAAGGTAAATACGATATGCTAAGTTGGGAGAAAAGATATAGAAAAAAGTTCCGTAGAACAAAATGAAGCAGTTTCATGGCTAGTTTGAAATTTTAAAATGTTTCACTTCATAGATAGTTAAATATCTCAAACACAAAGAAGTAAGTGATATAAGAAGCTCAAGCAGAAACAGTCACCTGTCGAAAATGCCACGATCCTTTAACAATCAATGTTAACAAAGCTAGTAGAACAAAATTTGTGCTTCCTGTATTGAAATTTTCAAAACAACAAACCACATAATAAATATATTAAAGAAGTCTATAATTAAAACTAATGATTTCTCAAAACATTGTAACTTGAAAACAATGTAACTCCGATAAACTTGGAATTCCTGAGCGCGTTTCTCCTTCCCCTCACTCCCCCACTCGAGGAAGCTAACATTACTCTTTCGCCACAACATTTACTACTTTGATCAAACAAAAAAGATTTATCACTATTGCATTTGTTTTGTCTTAGACAAAAATCTCGTAGTTCATAGTCATTTGTACAGTTAATGACCGAAAACATCTACATTAAAATCAACTGACAATGAGTGGAGAACGTGCTAGACCCTTATAATAGGAAGATTATAATTTATAAATATGAGGAAAACCTTCATTAGCTCAAAATTTGTCTCCGAGCCCCTAATCCGAAGAGGCAGCATAGACATTTAAACAATTTGTCCAACATATGAATCCCCTTTTTCACTAACCAAACAACGTTCTATAGTTTACATGCATTTGTACTGTGAAAGCATTCGTGCGATACTAAGCTCGTACATTAGAACACTAACAACGTTTTACAAAACGAAAGCCAAGATAGATTTTCCCGAGAGATTGAAGTACGAAAATTGGCTTCAACCGTTTCATACGAGCTAGCATCAAACGGAAAATGAAGGAACATGAATGAAAATACCTGCAAAATCAGTAACTTTATCGAATTTGAGAAGTGCAGTGATTATAAAGAAGAAAAATTGATAGCCCACCTGCGAAATTCAAAAACAACAGCACCCACAACTCATTTCATCACTCACATCATATAACAGTACAATATAACATAAAAATGTTCTCTAATCTCTCTTTTGACTCTCGAGTCTCGAGTATTTTTGCGTGTGCGTGTGTAAATTTTCACTTACAGTGACAATTGCAGTGAGGGCCAAGAAATGGGAATCAATGACAGTTCCCATGATCGCTCAATCCCGAGCAACAACTTAATAGAAATCAATTGTATCTTCGTGTGTCCAAGTTCGTTTGTTCCGACTGGTCAAAGAGTATATTAGTTGGGTGAGTGGTGATGTGCGGTTAGTTTTGAAGGGCCCTGTTGTACGTTTGTGGACCTTAAGTTATATCTTTATGATTCTTCAATTTTATTTATTTTTTAAAATTTTATTTTTAAAAATAAAATATTTTATACGGAAACTCAAAATATTTTTATTTTTATTTTTATTTTTTAATTACACATTTGCCAAAAAAATTTCCCCAAAAACTCTCTTTTTCAATGGGCATCAAATGCGAGTTAAATTGAAAATTGATTATAAATAATTTGAATCGAACAAATCCAATTGGTAAACAAGAGGACCAACATTTTAATATTTTGAACTCATGGACCTACTAGACAGAATTGAAGTTCTCTTCTAATTCGCTGTACACTGTGTCCAAAGTTAAACAATTTGGGTGATAGGCAAAAATAATTAGTGTCTTTTCAAGAGTAATCCCCCGACCCCGGCACCCCCAACTCCACCCCACCCGCAAAAAGAAATAATAATCCCATTATTGGATAATTGAAAAATAGTTTTTTCAATCCTTTAATCATAAAATTTCACATGTATATTATGTACACCCTTATGGATAGCATAATGTACATATAAAATTATTCAATACAGCCCCCCACTGAAATGGCGCAGTGATAAAGCAGGAGGGTTCTACACAGAGTATCGGAGATTCGAATTTCCACGGCAGTTGGAAGGCAACATTTATGTTGGAATGCAGTTATCCCATGGAGGTAAAGTTATGGTGTGCTTTGTCGTCCCTCCGAAAGTCCTGTCCGCACATTGTAAAGGGAGATTTATGGAGAAAAGAATCGCATCCCGAATGTACGGTTCAAATATGTATAAGTTGTGTCCACATTCGAATTTACCTGGATGGCGAACAAGAAGGGAAGGCCGTCACTTCTCAAAATTAGTCAGGCGAAGATTGGACACCTGAATTCTAAAAAAAAAAAAAAAAAAAAAAAATTATTTTATACAAAAACTTCTTATAATGTAGGCCCCTCAAGGGAAGGGGTTAGCGACTGTACCTCTTGTTGTGCACGGTCGTAAGAATATCTTTGGTACACTACAGGTGTCCGAATAAGATTGAGCCCCACTATTTCAATTTTTTGTCAGCTTTCTAATTTTAAAACAATAAATTAATTGTTAAAAAAAAGGGTTGTGCTATTTGCACAGGGCCTGAGACATGGGATGGATCCCACACATTTGTGGGGTCCACCCCATGTCTCAGGCCCTGTGCACACCCTGTGCACAGGGCCCTGTGCAAGGAGGATTACCCTAAAAAAATTGCAAGTGGACAGAACTGTGTCTGGCCTTTAATTATGAATAAAGCCCCCCTGTCCCCACTTGTGGACAGGGTTGAAGATAAAGGTGCCACATGGCACCTCTCTATTGGAGGGGCCCTAACTTAGGGGTAGGGTTAGGAACATGTGACACCTACTTATTGGAGGGACGTCTGCCCCAAGTCGAAATAGGGGGCAGGGTTGTTTAATTATTGCAAAAAAACGTTGAAATTCAAAAGGTCGAAAACATCCTCGTTTTTCGAAACTAATTTCCAAAAATAACCCTACTATTCCTTAACTTTTAAATAACCTCCCCCATTTATTTGAAGGGTAAACTGGGAAATCAGATTTGGCTACCAAGGCAACTCTCCAACAGTCAGTCAACAAGTAGCGTTTTCCATCATGGATGGTGTTTGTCTTGGAACTACCGAACAATTCATTCAATGTGGCCACACAATGAAGAAAATGAAATTGGCAAAAAACTGGAATAATGGGGCTCAAACACATAAGAATTTTTTTCTCAATAATTCTTCTCAAATTAGTAGTTTTATAAAATTTATTTTTACTTTTAAAAAAATATGTAAAGATTTTCAACTATTTTTTGAAGGCAGTGCTTTCACTTCAAAAATTTTAAAACAAAAAAAAAATGCTACTATTTATTAAACTTCAAAATATATATTTAAAAGCAAAATACATAGAGTCGAAAATAAATAATTTAATTCATTAAAGTTAAAAGTTGTATTTAATTTATGAATATCTCGAGTAACTAAAAGCAGAATTCGGAAAGTTACTCGTGTAAAGAAAAACATGAACCATACCGCTACGCATGAGACTTGGAGGAGTCTCAAGAAATGTGGTGTTCAAAGCAAAAGTTTGACAGGTAAAATTTTAAACTTCAATTTAAATTAACACAAAAAGTATATATTTTCGAATGCATGGTTAAAAATTTGAGAGAAAGTTTTGAATTTACGTGTAGTATTAATTTGTTGAAAATACGTGATTGAAAATAAAAAAGAGAAAAATGTATATTAAAAATAATACAGAACAAACAGATGTTTAATATCATGAGTTTCTACGCTTGATATAACATTCGTCATATTTCTCTACAAAGCATTGACACCTTTCAAAGCATCACAAATCTGCTAGTAGATGACACATTCTTCTATAATCTATATATTTTTTTTCTTACGTTCGCCGAAGTAACTTTTGATTATTCGTCAATCACAAGGTTGATTCTAAAATAAGTCTCAAACAAGTCTAACTTGTTTTATTTCTTTACCAAATCGGTATTTTGTATTTTGCAATATCAATCTGTTGGTCAAGAATTAATTCTCATGAGCAAATAATAGGGTCTTTGTTATAAATATTCGATATTCTTGCAAAAATATTTCCTTGTTTGACCTCCATTTTAATGTGATTTTGTGAGAAAATGTATTTAAAAATAGCAACTTTTTCCCCCCTTTTTGAAGAATATGTGATTGAAAAATAAAGAAAATTTTTGGGTTCACATTTAATATTATTTTGCGGAAAAATGTGGTCGAAAATGAATTTTGAATAAAAGGGAACCCAAATAAGGGCTTATTTAGTTGTGTTAGTGACATTAATTTCTTGCAGTATTTAGCTGGTAACCCATCATATGATGAGTTCCTATTATTTTTCATAAAAATACAGCGCCTAATATAACTTTACTCTAATTCAAACCAATATTTCCATAAATTAACCATTTCAAAAACTCATGTACCCAAGTCACAGAGACCACAAATATTCATACCGTGTAAAAAATTGAAAAACAAGAATACAAAACGGAGTCACTTTCCAGTAAATTTCAGTTGATAGAGCTATCAATCACTTCAAAATGTGTATGGCCTAAACTTCGAATAAAATTCACCTCAAATTAATTAAGGCAGATGAAACTAGTAGCAATACAGCAGCCAAAGGGAGTGCAGAAGTATGAAGTATAACAAATGAAATAAGCGCCAAATTCTTCAAAAGAACATCGTTTCACTGGATCTATTCGTCAAACCGGCTAAAGAGTTCAAGGGAATTCGGTGATTCTTTAGTGTTTAATGCATCTTCTGCTCAGTGCTCCCTCGTTGCCTCCTTCTATACCTTGCACAGACAGATAATTACTGCATCTCAATTGAGCATTACAAGGAAAAGCATTTTCAAGCAAACAATTGTATTCCAAATCAGATAATAAAACTGGGACTAATCTAATTCCACTCAAAAATCACTGTCAATTCCAAATAAGACAGGTAAGGTATTTGCCAAACATTTGAAGTGTTTATCTTGCAGTTTTCTTTTCTTTTACAAGTACTAAAATGTTTCATAATTCTGGCATGTTTCCCAATGTCATTTTTTATACAATTTTCACTATACTGGAATTCTGACCATACCAGATGTCAAACCAAATGCCAAAATGTCGATTGAAGCAAGGCTTTTGATGGCTAAAGAACAGCATGGATTTTGAAGGGACTACGTTTTAGCCGGTCAAGAATCAACAAACAGGCAAGGTGCACACTCAGTGTAAGGTTGGAGGTACCTTTAGATTTTACTGCTAATGCCTTGCCTCGTCTATAGGAAGTAAGGCAAAGAGCATAATGAAGGTCACAAAGATATGTTTGCTCTTTGATGGGGACCATATACTCTCAAAAAATGGACTTACCTTGCTGATGGTTTAGGTATTAATCTAAGAATTGATTTCAATGACAGGTTGATATTTGTCTTTTATATTAGCTTCATCTTGACCAACGTAGTGATAGCCCTAACCTAGATGCTTGATGATACAGATAAATTGTAAAATATCCCATGGTAGACCCTACAAGTTTTACAAAACTGGCACATACTAAGTGCCTATTTGAGCCTCATTATCTAAAAACTCATTTTTAACCACATATTCTCTTGATAAAACAATTTTGTACGTAAACCCAAAACTTTTCCTTATTTTATAGTCACATTCTCCCAAAAAAATCACCATTACTAAATTTATTCTCCCAAAAAAGGGGGCTCAAACAAAGCCCAAGTGTTGTTCATGTCGTACCATCCAAAGTATTCATTTGAAGGTATCAGGAAAGTTAAAATCACTTAGGATCAAGTGTACCATCAAATTCTTGTTGTCTAATTTGACTTCCAAAGTGGTTTCACTTGTCTCCTCATAATTGTTGCTAGAGTGTTCACAATGATATTGAAGAGATAAGGTCTGATGTCATGTCGAAGAGGCATTTCTAGAGTTTACCTTGGGGAGTTATGGTTAGGGAACATTATCAACCTCACCCATGCCTCTACAAACGATTTTATCAATAGGTATGGGGTGCATGTAATAAACCATCTTGGAAGTCATTACCTGTATGGTCTATGGAGTGCGTAATACTTTGCCCAAGAGTAGTGGTTTCAATAAATAACGTAGTACTAAGGTTACTGAGGCGTCTTTCCCATTTTGTGGGATTTGACACTCTTTTGACAAACAGTAATAAGACATTATTTTATGATAATTACTGAATGTTGGGAGGACAAAATATCCGTAAGATGAACGGACCATAGAGTTGGGGATATTAAGATGGCCTTGGCGTCATACTAGAATGAATAAAATATGCCAACAAGTGCAAGGGATGCTAATTGAGGACAAGTTAAGGGAATATGACTTAGCTTATAGAGATGCTGCTTCATAAAATTATCAAATAATTATAGCAAGTCAAGTACCAGAAGATGATAAATTGCCTAAGATGGCACGCCTCTAGCTTCTTTCAT